CCCACAGAAAGAAATAAAGGTTCGATAAATCAGGTGAGCGTGGTGGCTAGGGAACGGACCACCACGCCCAATCCATCCGTATGGAAATGACTTGTTTAAATTCCCTTGAACAGCCAGTCCAAAATGAACGCCACCCCATCATGTTGGAACAACATATTGCAGCTCACGTTTGCTGGAATATCATCAAGTAAGCTAGGAAGAACCTGTTCCAGAAAAATAGGATAATTTGTGGCAGTCATGCAGGATGGTAAAAGATACATCCTGACTAAGCATTCACCGACCAAACCTACCCACACATTTACTGCCAAGCGATGCTGTGCTAGATGGTGTCAAAAACCGTGGGTGTTCTTGAGCCCACAAATGCACATTATGCTGATTGAATACATCATCCTTATCACCGTGCGAAAAACACACATTTAGGACGATTTCAGAAATGGGCCATTTAGTGGGCTGCCCACATGCAGCCATTCTGAGTACTTATCAAAAGAGGTGTATGGATGGCGAAACATTGATTCCACAGACAGTTACATATTGTTAACCATGGCCAAAATCACTAGCAGCTACAACAGTGGCAACCTAGATGGTGTGTTTCAACACACAAAGCATTGAACACTGCTGTGTATGGGCCTACGCAGCAAGTACTCAAATCCCATCCTAGTATTGATGGCACATGAACACCAACAGTGTAGTTTCATATCAGAACAGTGCCTGCAATCCATCAAGGAGCATGAGCATTAGACCACAAAAGAATAAAAGAAAGTTTCCTGGTTCGATGAATAATGTTTTCCGGTCAATTACATTGACGGATGTTAATTGTGAATATACCTATTTCCAATGGAAACCCTGGTACCAAAGTACAAGGCAGTGGCAGCAGTATTATGATGTGGGCAGTTTTCATGGGGTAGATTCAAATCCATCATTCCCATAAAACAATTCTTGACATCTGTGCACTATGCAAGCATCATTTCAGACCAGGTGCACCCCTTCATGGCAACTGTGTTCCTGACGGGTGGTGGTGTAGTGGCTTTTCTGGAGCAAAATCTTAATGGTTATATGCGCTGAAACGTGTATCAAATATTCTTAAATACAAATAGACATAAAAATCAACAGGCAGGATAAAAACTACAAGAATAGCATAAAACACAATGATGAAAATTATATACAATGGTAAAATGCTTAAAATAAACAACTACACACTCCTCATATAATTATCACAGATACAAAACAAGACAAAAGCCCTTGAAACATAAGATATATAATAAAATATATACTATTAAAACAATAAGACAGGACATCAAAATCAAATTAAATTAAATAATATACGTGTATATAATAAATACCTGTCTCTTTCAGGTAATGGAACAAATTTGGATTGACCTCTTTCCCAATTATATGGTCCAGAGGCAAGTCACATTTCTTAAAATGTTTCAAACGAAGATTTTTAAAATATGGACACTCTATTAAAAAATGACTGACATTACAGAATAACAGTTTGGGCACGCTTGTTCGCTCAGCTTTCAATAGATAACTGTAATATGTGAGTGACCTATTCTCAGAGGGGGTTAACAAATTTTCCTCCTTCCAGTTCCTAGTGCGCTCCCAACATTCAATTTTTGGTTTGACTCTTTTATTTTCTAGCTGGACATCCCAAAGTTGCTGCCATTTAATTAACAATCTGTCCTTGATGACTTGATGACTTTACAGCTGTCATTAAAGAGGATAAGTCAATGTGCCAGATGAACTGCAGATTTGGTTGTAATGTCTAGCTCATTCTATTTCATACCCACATGTCCTGAAACCCAACAGTACAGGATGTCATACCCACAACTTTTTAGTTTAAGATTAAAGGCTTAAAATGTCAACCACAATGGGATTCTGAGTACTATAAGATGAATCTAAGGATTTCAAAGCACTAAACGAGTCTGTATATAAGCACTAAACTTCCAGCGACACGGGTCTCCACGCTCGGCAAACACGTGGGAAGTTTTCTCACCACTCGATATCTAGAGACAAGGGCTGCTCAAGTTTCTCATGACGAGCCCCAACCTCCTAAAAGGAAAACCACAAGGGAGAAGGGAAGGAAAAAGGTTCCAGCCAAGAGGAGATGGAAAAGAGGATAGATCACTGGGGCTCCAGGATTGTGACACCCGTTTCACCAAGATGATGATCCCTTGAAGGGCTAGGGTACTTCAGGATTATCACATCTGTACTCACAAAAGTGAGCCCCTGAGGGCGTGTTCCTCGATGGGTGATGACATTTACCAAAAACATAATGCACAATGTCATAAGGGCCAAATTGTCTGGGAGTGGTTCGAGGAACATTCTGATGAATTTCAATTATGTTTTGCGCTTCAGATCCAACTGACATGAATTCAATCAAACATTTGTGGGTCCACCTGGAAAACTGAATTTGTACTGCCCTGCTACTACCTCACAATGTTGCGGGACATGCAGAACCAGTTGGTGAGTGCCTGATACCAGATATCTCAGACTACCTAACAGCCTCTTGTCGAATCAATGCCTCGATGGGTATTGGCAGTTTTGAGGGTGAATGGTGGCCCTACTACATACTGAAGGGGTCATAATGTAATGGCACTTCAGTATATTATAAAAAGGAATAAGTACAAAATAAAAAGACAGTTTAAAATCCATTCCAATTGTGCACTGATAGCAGCAACAAGTGGCAGTAATAATGCAAAATAAAATAGAAAATGAATATATTTCAAATCCATCTTGTATTCAGTTTGGAATAAACCACATGCAAAAACCAAAAGACAGGGGCATAGCAACAAATTCTCAAGAAAAAGAACAGTAAAACATGCCAAAAAAAATGAAAAATTATATTTACATCTTTCACTGCATCATCATAAGGAGGTTCATGAAACGAAAAAAGTAAATAAATATGACAGCCTTTTTTTTAACAAGGATATGAATTAAAATGTTAAAATAATCTTGGGAAAACAAAGTAATCTCTGTTTTAATCAGTCCAACCACTACAGGCTTTTAAGCTTGCTTGTTTATTAACTGTGCGTTTATTTCTTAACCCAGCCTGTATGTTTTCAAAATTTGCATTTAGTTTTTTCAATTTTGAATTAATAAATTTGCATATGGTTTTGTTTTTTTCAAGTGTTGGATTATTATTTGTAAGATTTGTTTTTAGATTCAATCTACTTCATTTTTTTTTTTAAATTTGTATATTATTTTGCAATCATTTAGAATTTGTCTCTCTTTTTATGCTACAGTTTTTATACTGCTTACTACTTCTGCTTTACATGTTTTTGCGCTCACTTAGTCCACTAAAATTAAATGATTTTTAAACAAGCAAAAAACCTTAAAAATAGGTTTTTTGCTTAAGATGCTTGTTTAAATATAAATAGGTTTTTTGCTTAAGATGCTTGTTTAGTTAGAAATAGAAGATGCTTGTTTACAAACAAAGTAATGCAGCCTATATGTTTTCAAAATTGAGTTTGTAAATTTCAATTTTCATTTAGTTTTGTTATGTAATTTCTCAAATGGTGTTTTCATTCATGTTCACCAGGAAGGATGGATGAACAAAAATGTGTGAAATTGTGGGTGAGAAATGCTTGGCAAAAGCGTCCTATTGCCTTAACCCTCTGAGCGGCTTGGGTTTTGGGATCTGTCATGAAGACTTGTATTCAAAGAGCCTTTATGAGCTAAATTTGCATATTTACTTATTTTAGGCTCTATTTTCATAAAATTTCATTTATTAATATAACATTTACATTATTAAAGAAAGTAAGAGAGCAAAACATCGTAAATTATAAGCTAATGTATACCAAGTGACAAAAAATCTCATGACCAGATAAAGCCGGCCATGACACTCAGAGGGTTAATCAGATGGTGTGTGTATTTAAATATGGCAAAGCACACTAGGGCTATCTGCCTAAGGGAAAGGATGCCTTTGTGGGAGGACTTTCTAAGGGAAACTGGCTCGTATATACGTTACACAGGGGGGAAATCACGAAAACACCCATGCAGCCAGCCCGTTCGCGGGATTCGAACCTCGGACCGACTACTAGTGTTCAGCGACTTTACCGCTCGGCCGCTGGTGGGCCTCTCAGAGGGTTAAAGAATATGGAAAGTCTTTTAGTTTGGGACATGTTCATATTCTATCTAATGGATAACATAAAGAAATTGTTGAAAGAGTGTAATAGAGATATGGTAGTTATTTTAGATGGATTAACACCAATAGTTTTGCATTTAGATGTGCGTATCAATAAAACATTCAAATAAAATTTTAAATAACAATACATTAAAATTACAATAAAATTTTAAATGAAATACATGGATATTAGAAGATGAAAACCATTTACATAAGGAGGCAAATGCTTTATGACAATCTAGAAATAGTATGCGAGTGGATAATAAAAGTATGGAGTGAAAATGAAACTGACGTATAATTCAAAAATTATTTTAAAAATGCAATACTCCTAATAATACAAATGGAATAGAAGATGATTATTTACTTATGGATCAGGGTAATAGTGATGGTGAAGATGAAACATAATTCGATGATGGGCCTGAAGATATAATAGAAGAAAAATATGAAGAACTTTTCATATTCTCCAATATTGAAAATTTGTAAGCTCAAAGTATGTCATTTCTTTTAAATAAACAGCATTTACATATCTGCAGAAATCTAATTTTTATATGCTCATCCTTTCCTTATTTTTAATTCTATCATTTTTTTATCCGGTGTATAATGCGCACCTGTAAATTTCAATTTTTTTTTATATTAAAAAAGCATGTTATATGCCAGAATATACTGTGTATATATATTATATATAGGTTATATAGATGTATACAGATATATATATATATAATAGATATATAAGAGAAAATACACACATATAATAAACAACATATTAAGTAAAAATATTGCCTATTATTCATTGATAACATGCTTTCAAAGCATTCTTATCAAACATGGATAAAGAAATAAATAACTTAATAAAAGTTATTGATCAAATTATATTTACCTTAGCAATTATAACCTCCTTTTTTAAAACTTTAATAGCATACAGTTGACCTGAACCTTTTTCTCTACATAGTATCACTTTACCAAAAGTTCCTTTTCCAAGGACTTTTAAAAATTCAAAATTATCTAAAGTCTGAAAAGAAGAAAAAAATTAACATAATAAAGAACATTCATAATAATAACTGCTACATATACAAATCATATGTGCTTACGATTTTTCTTCCCCTAGAACCAGAAGTCCGCGTGGATATATTTAACCTTCCCATGAGATCATCTTGTTCCATCATCTCAACATCCTGGTCAGGTTCTTGCTCTTGGAGTCGATCAGCTACATACTGAATGGCCTGCATCCACTCTTCTCTGAAATTTAAAAATTAATTTCATTCTTCAAATCAGTTTAACCTTATTTAAATTAGCTAAATGGATAGTTATTTTAGAAAGATGCTCTGCATTCAGAAAGTTTGGGTTTTTTTATAAGTAGATGAAAAATCTCATCAAACATTCTCAAACTTATGCCAAAGAATATAGATGAAAGAAGGTTATAAATCAACATATAAATGATTCAGGATATAGAATGCAACAGCTCTGATATGCCTTTGAGAAAGTCTTACAGCATAAAATCTGGCTCCAATGCTCCCAAGTTAAGTTGTGTTGTTAACAGTGCAATCAGAGAATGAAGGAGGATGCATGCAAATCATTAATTCATATACTTCCATGAGTACCAAGTTTAGAGAATGGTATCATTTAAGATGACATCTAAATCAGAGCAGGCACAAGTATAATTGTAGGGATCACAGCAGACACAAGTTTAATTCTGTACCAGCTTGCAAAGGCTAAAGGCTACAGTACTATTAGTACTGCCATTTGCTTGAGGATCAAACTATCACTAGAACAATCTGTTCAGAGAAAATCAACGAGCAGGAACTTCTGCTTCTCTCATCTTAATTATGCAGTAATACCTAATCAGACTTTACCATTATATGGAAAGAAGAATAAGACCTCTATACCACCATAAAGCACTTTTGATCTTTAATACAAAAAGAATGAAGTGGTAAAGGATCAGTCAAAACAAACATCCACCTGTGTCACATTATGTCTTTAGTGGGATTCTTATTATATAATCCTTTAGCATCTATTAGGCACCATCATCACCAAACAGTATTATTTGCAACTACAACATCTCACTGACAACCTCAGTATAATCATAACATGATGCTCCTCCTAACATGCCTTCAACTCCTGTAACAAAGCATAAGAACTCATACAATTTAATCATTGAAGCTATGTTGGGAGTTTAATCTTCTCTGTGCATAACCTAGATTTTACATTAACAGACAGCCACATTTATTGAACGTGCCAACCCTTGAAATACAGACCTTCAGCAGTGAACCTGAGAGATCTACATGCTTCTTTGCTTTTAAACTAATTAATACTGTGCAGATAGCAAAACATTACTGGTGCAAATGCAGCCTAGTTTTTGGATGATCACTTTTTGCTTTAGTATACGGGGTGTTCAAATAAAAAGGTACGAAACGTTGTAACAACCAAACCAGTTGAAATTTGAATATGCCACTTTGGCATAACATTGCGAGACATCTAAGGACGTAAATGCAGTATCAAACATGGTTGTGTGCATGTACAAGATGCCGAAGCGAAGCGGGCAGATGTTGTCTCCGTCCAATTGATGCGAAAGTGCGTGCGATGACATCTTGTCGTTCAAATGCAATATTCAACGACTGAGGAGCAGCAAGATGTTATCAAATTTCTGACTGCGGAAGGGGTTAAACCAGCCAATATTCATCACCAGATGATAGCCGTATATGGAGCAGACTGTGTGTTTGACAAGTCAGTGAGAAATTGGAGTGCCAGTTCTGCTCTGTATACAGCCACCAACCGGCAATGAATATCGATCAGTTTAATCCCTTCTACAGTCAGAAATCTGACAACAGCTCACTAAACCTCAATCATTGAATTCTGCATGGTGAAGGCCAAGATGTCATCACTCACACTGCCGCATCAATTGGATGGAACACACAAATGCCTCCTACACTCTTGCATCATGCACTTGCATACAACCATGTTTGATATTGCATTCGCGTCCTTAGGTGTCTCACTACGTTATGCCAAAGCAGCATATTCAAATTTCAACTAGTTTGGTTGTTACGATGTTTCGTACCTTTCATTTGAACAACCCTTATATAAACATTCATGATATGCCTGCTGAAAAGACCAAACTGATCTTAGCAACCCAATAAATAAAAACAAAAGTTAAAATAACAATGAAAGAAATATGCTACCCACCCACTTATTAAAATTACTTCTGTTCCAAACGTATTTTAATTTTTTAAGCAGTTGAGCTTAATAGATGGCGAGTTGTGCATTGCAAACAGTGATATCAGTTTTAAACTTTTCAAGTAAAATCATAACTAACAATTAATTCATTAATTAATTCTAAAATAATAATTAACATTAAAATTAATGTATTTATGCAAGTTTGAAATTCATTTTTTAGATATTTGTAAAAATATTTTTATACTATGCTCCTGATGAAATTTTCTCTCTTACAAATAACTCTTCTATCTGTGTTTGTACCATATTGTTCAACAGCTGTTTTCCATTTGCATTCTCAATTTTGTAAAACAGCCGATAGCTTTTTAGATTAGCACCGTTTAGTTCAAGAATTTTTCTTAGAATTTGCAGTTTTTCCAGATTTGACTGATGACACCTTATCATCACTTTCACTATCTGTTCCCGCAGTTCTTTTTACACTTTCATAGTCAATTTTTATGCACCTTGTCTCAATATTAATGTGAAATGACAAATATTCTAAAAATAAATCCTTGTAACATCCCTCGCTGATATCTGGAACATAAGCTATAGTTTGCAGTTCTTCTGAGGCTTCTTCTATGTAAAAGCCACATCTTGGAAAGCAGTTTTTTAATGATTTTAAAAGGTCATTAATTTAAGAGATCAATTTGACTCTATGCATAGCCTGTAGCAGAGATACTGACTTATTTATCTCCTTCAAAGTGCTTGCATTTTCACAAACTACAGTTCTCTTCATTATTTACTGAACATCTTTCTTTAAAATGAAATTTGAAAGCTTTTATAATACCTTAAAATTAAACGTTAGAAGTTGAATCTGCAGGAAGAGACACTACAGCTTTTCAGAAAGAAATGTGTGTACTAAACAGCTTTGGCTTTTATAATAACTTAAAATTAAATGTTAGAAGTTGAATCTGCAGGAAGAGACACTACTGCTTTTCAGAAAGAAATGTGCTGTTGAACAATATGGAACAATTACTAACTATGAACAATATGGATATACTAAATAGCTATTTACCCCCCTCTCAGTTAGCTGTCCCATTTTGGAAGAAAAATCAGTAAAAAATATTACTTGTCATCCCAGAAGTTCCATTGTTATGGTAAGTCAGAAGTAAATTCTTGACTCTTCAGATTCTCTCTTGATTCTTTCAGGCATTAAGATTTTCTGCTTTTGTCAGTAACCAGTGCTGTCTTCTTAACTATCGGGTCCATTTTGAATGTTCATGAAACAGTAACTTATTCCTTCATTTCATAACCTAACTTATGCTCCACTATTACATAGTAATGCGTGTTCTGTGACACAGTCGTTTCATTTTGTTATAAATTTCAAGTGGCTAGTATTCATTTAACAGCCAAAGTTAAAGGTTCCTTTTATTCAGTTATCAGCTGCATTATTATCCACTTCTTTCTTCTAACCCTGCAATTTCTGATGAATAGTATCCGATTTCACTTTCTCCAACATGTGAGGCATATGTTGGTGGACATAAAATTCTCTCCTAGCATTTAGCAAATGAATGAAAAATGCTCCAGAAACAGAAGAATTTTTAGCTATATAGCTTGAAAGCAGTCTAGGAAAACAATTTCAGTTTTCTGTCAATGTCTCTTAATTTTCTGTCTCTTTTGCACTTCCTTGAGATATTTGCATTTTTAATTAGTAATTCATTAATTATAATTTCTTGTTTAAATAATTGCGTGATGCTGTTTGGGAAATTTCTAGTTCAAATGTAAGTTTTCTCTGGCTACCAAGAATATCAAAATCTTTTAATATACCCTTTTCCTACACGGTTATGTATTTTTGCTTAGCAGTTTAGACATGTTACCAGTTAAGCACATAATAACTTCAAAAAATGCTTCTTCGGGTGATTTATTTAAATTTCAAAATTTACATTTCTAGCCAGCAGAAAGATTGCCTTTTGTCTATTCACCAAACTACCACTTGACCAATGCTTTTATTTTCCCAGCCTACATTTACCACTTTCTTTCCATTCAACGACCATTAACCCTATCAAGATAACATGCCTTTATTTAAGACATTTCTTTGAATCAGATGGAGTTGAAACGAATCGTTCCACAGGACGGGAGTTTTACATCGCTAGCGGGAAAACACACAAAAAAAAATACAAAAAAAGTTTTAGTTCTATGTCAAAATTTTTGGTATCATTTTAGATTATGCATAAGTTACCATACATATTAAAATTAACATTTGATATTCTTTTCTCTTTACGTTATATGAAAATACATAAAAAAATTGCTTACTCTGAGAAATAATTTTTAAGCGCTATTTAAATTATTAAAAGTTTTAATTAACAAAATACATTAATAAACTTTAAAATTAATAAACAAAATTCAAGAAAGAACTTTTAAAAAGAACAAGTAACAAAATTGTTCACAAAGTGGAAGGCAGGCACTCAGTGAGCTCAGTCTCAGAGAGTCCGTATCAAAATCATTAGGAACATCGGTCTTTAACTCTTTAGAAAATTAATTTCCATTCTCATCCATGTTACTAACTAGGCTCATTTACCATGCAAATTTATCCTTCCTCTGATAAATAACACTTCTCTCCATAATAAATTGTAGTCAAGGCTTTCCGAAATGAAAAGGGAAGTACGCAAAATATAAGCAATAAAAACAATGCAAAGCATAATAAAACCCCACATAGTAATCCTAAACGATCTTATACAGCCCTGAAAAAAGAATGATTCAAAGAAACATTAGAAACAGGAATGTTTATATCACATAGCAAGTTATAAACTCTGCTTTTTTACATTATGCTTTCTCTCCTGACATCAAAGTTAGGCAGAATGTGATCAAGCTGAAGGTCAGGATCCCAAAGTATATTCAGTTCAAAAGTAAGATATAAAATGCTATCTGGTGCTCTTTAAAAAAATGGTTCAGCTTAAAATGCAGATATGCATCACTTGTCTCTTAAGTACATACGCCAGTGATGCATGGGTGGGACGCCCCACTGTGAGAGACGTTCATAGGAAATAGATATATGAGACACCTGTCCAGAAAGGGTTAATGTACAGTAATGCCATGAAGCATTTCATGCAAGCTTTTCTTTAGCTTTTTTATAACTCTCTGTGAGCATAATGTGTCTATCCCAAAGGGAAGATTCTGAATGTGGAAACCTTAAAAGATGGGATACAGAAGGTGATATTTGAAAGAAGCCCTCATGCATTTATAGTGCCACTAGAGAATTGTTTTTGGTTAACCTTAAGATAAAGAAATTCTGCTACTCTGCTGACAAAGAACTCTAAAAAAGTGTTTTACATATAGAGGAAGCTGGAGTAAGAAAATTTGGGTCAAACCTATTTTCTTGAAGCACTACATACCTGAATGATAAAGCCACAGTCTGCAATACATTGAACAGATTAACTCTTAAAAGCTCAGTCTAGAGATTTAGTAAATAGCAAGTAGATTTTATGTCAAGCGGTATGCATTAAAATGAGAAGTAAAATCATAATCAGCATGATTCCTACAGAGACCTGCTCATACATACCTAAGGTCTGATGTAGTCATATTGCAGTTTTATTTATTTGGCGGGTAGGTTGTCGATTCGTGTAAGTTCAGGGGTTGTAAACTAGTTAATACTTTAAGGTTCCATAGCCACTAAGCATGAGAGGTGATAGTTGTTTTGTATTATTTCAAGTCAGATGAAGAATCAGTTTTACAGGAATTTTAGATTTTTAAGCAAAGAACGTTTAAGGAATTTTTAGATTTATCTTGCCCCATCGTAAGATTAAAAAAGCAATAACTCACTTTAATTGAAAGATAATTTTTAAGGGTAAGCAGTCAATTATAAATAATTAAATTAGGTAAGTAGATTACCTTCGTAATTATGGATTTACATGGCCACTATTACACTTTATTTATTTTTCAACTAAATTTGTGAAAAAAGGCCCTATTAAAATCACAATCTAATAAAATTTCACAGTTTAAAATACATGTAATTTATGACATTGATTCTTAAATGATATTAGGATAATTACACATTAAAAACTACAAAATATTTAAATTTTTTAGCAACAACACTCAACAAAATATTTACGCACCTTTTTAATGTGAAGCCTTCCCACACATTTTGGCTAATTTATATCAAATTCCTTTTCTGATCATCTTTTCTAACAATTAGAAAATTGTCTCAATATGCAAAAAATGTTCTCAGTAGTTTCTGTATGCCTTGTCTC